CAGGGGTTGATAGTGGGGTAGAATGCATGATCCTATCTGAAAAACAGCTAAAAACAAAAAAGGGCTGAGTTCATGGCTCAAGTGGTAGGGTACCTGCCTAGTAAGTTTGAGACACAGAGTTCAAACCACATTATTGCAAAAAATAAATGATAAAATATATGTATACTATTTTAAAAACTCAAGCACAAGGGTATGTCCTGGGAGAAGGGGGTCATTACAAATTCAAGCTCTATATCATATCTGAACCATAGAAATCTTCCTCATAATATTGATATGATTTTCTCAAGGGAACGTTAAATGAATAGCTATTCTGTTGATTGTTTGGTTGACCAAGATATCTTCCTCAGCTTCCCAAGTGCTGGTATTTCAGGCCTGGTCCACCACGCCTGGCTCTCAGGTACTCCCTGAAAGGTTAGTAGAAACGATGAGTATGTACAAGACTTGTGTAAAACTGGCTTAAAGAAAAAAAATGCATCTGCTTAAATGTAAAACAACAGCGTAAGTGTTAGAAGTCAAGATTTGAGTTCAAACTGTGGTTATATTAACTAGGTGACAAAGCTCTGTTGCTTATACTCTCTGAATCCTCAATTCTCCAGTTACAAACAGACATGCCAAACTTACTCCTAAAGTTAGGGGGACTCACTTAGATAACAAATGTACAATATTCAGCATACTGCCTAACACCTAGCAAGTGCTGTATAAGTCATGTTACTGTCAGTCATCAAGACACTCATTAAAATTTTATAAGACTTTCTATAATAATTTTGCAGAAGTTCTGATGAAAGAGATAATTGTAGATCATTACAGTTCATATAGGCAAAGTTACAAGTACTTTAGAAAGGAGGAATAGTTTTAACTGGAGAGACAAGTGTCTTTTCTGCTAACTTTTAATGCTGTAACTGAAAGGTTTATTTGGGCGCTATGGAAAGAAGTGTGCCTCTCCTTTATTCATATTTTGAAGCACTAACTCTCAATGTGATTACATCTGTACAGTCTTTAGGAGGGAATTAAGATTAGATGAGGTCATAAGGGTGAGGTGCTAGTCTGAGGGCACTGTATTGGAAATGAAGAGGAAAAGAGAAACAGATAGGCAACAAGTTGATCATCTGCAAATAAGGAAAAGAGCCCTCACCAGAAATTTACCTGCTGGACTTTAATATGGGAATTCTTAATATGTGGTAGCCCAATTAGAAGTAGGATGAGGCCTGTAGCAAACACCTGAAAATCTGGTAGTGGCTTTGGAACTCAGTAATGGATAGAGGCTGGGAGAGTTCTGAGGTACATGCTGGAAATACAGATGTTAAAAGGCAATGCTGAGGTCTCATATGGCAGCGAGGAAAAGGTTATTAGAAACTGGTTACACAAGTGGCAAAGAACTTGTCGAAACTGTGCTCGAAGTGTGTGGAAGGGAAAATTTGTGAGATTAAGCTGAATATTTAGTAGGCGAGATTTCTAAGAAAATATTGAAGGTGCAGCCTAGATTGCCTCACTTAATGCTTAGGATAAAATGCAAAGACATAGAGATTGAAAAAAGAACTATTAGGCCAAAAGGAACTAGAACTTGGAGACTTGGGGAAAATTCTTAATGTATCCATACTGCAAAAAATTAGAAAGCATGTTGCACAGAGAACACAGGAAAAGAATCTACAGTTTCTTTTTGGGACAATAAAGCAGTAAGCACTAGGACAGATATAATCATCCCTGATTAATGTCAGTATCAAAACAGGGAAAAAAGTATGAAAAAAAATCTGAAACATTAAATAAAAAAGTACAAAATAAAGTTGTGGCAATATACTTTTAAGAAATTCTAATACTACTGAACTAATGAATAATCCAAAAACTTAATCACATTTTTACAGTGGTTTAAATGTTTAATAATGATCATAATATTTTACTATTTCTGCTGTAGTATTAGTGAAAAGAATACATGGCCTACAGGAAGAAAATCAAGACTCATGTTCTGATTCTCCTTCTTTGTGGTTCTATGACCTTGGAAAGGCCAAAATTCACAAGGAACTGCAATTTCCTTTATAAAATGAGTAACATAATCTAGCTCTTTTGAATTATGAGAGCATGACATGTGAAAATGAATTGCAAGTCTGAAAGTATAGTATGATTGCAAGTCATTTATTATACAAAATTAATACAAGTATTTAATATGAAAATGGCTTTAAACATTAGGTAAGGACACATCACCAAGTGTTTTTCATGAATAGACAGGAACAAATTAACTTTAAGTGCTATAAGAAAGTGTGCACCTCTAGGAGATGAACTATGAAATAATATACACATAAAATTTATATGAAAAACATAATGTATATAAAAATACAGTTTTTCAATGAGTGACATTATAATACTGTCAATAGCCCTTTTAATAAATAAATAAATAAAATATACAGATCTTCCTATATTCCCAAGTTCTTTTTTTTTTTTTTTTTTGTCTTTTTTGGGATTTTCATTAAAGTATATTTATATAAGGAAATAAACTTATGCTTTTTAGGAATGTAGTTTTGAAAAACTTACATAGTGTGTAACCACCATTACAGCCACATGTGGGATATTCCCATCATCTCCTAAACTTTTCCCTTGCTCCTCCTCTTATCCCCACTGCTCATTGATCTCATGTCTGTCCATATAACATTGCATTTTTTAGAATAATATATAAATGCAATCATATAATACATAGCTTTTGGTATGGCTTTTGAAATCAGTCTGCATATATTAGCAAGATAATATATACTTAATTGCTAACAGGTTTGACTGCAAAGATGTTTCACGATTCATTGATTCATTTACAAACTGATGGTATCTGGATTATTTGTATACTTTGGTAATTATAAATAAAACTCTTGAAATATTCATGTACAGTTCTTTGCATGAACACGTATTTATACTTCTTTTGGGTAAATAACTAAGAGTGGGACTGCTAGCTTATGCTAAGTATATGTTTAATTTTATATAAAACTAACAAACACTTTTCTCTTTCTTCATAAGCAATGTATGAGAATTATAGCCACTAAACATCCTTGCCAGCACTATCAGCTTAAGTTTTAGCTCTAGATTCTAGTCAGTAGGTAGGGTATATTGTGGTTTTGTTTTTCCTACTGACTGATTTCAGCAACTTTTCTTATGTTTATGTGTGCTACCTACTCACTTTTAAGTTATATATGGAAGTATTTGACTATCATATTTTGTTAGTGGATACATATAGCCTTGCACAGGTACACATACAATGAAAAATGGTAAGAACTCAACTCCTAGGCAGGAATCACTAAAATGGGTGCAAAGAAGAAAAACAATTTATTTAATCAATGCACATTCATTTACTGGGCACTGATGGAAGAACAGGGTCAAAAGCTATCCTCAGTACCGGACCAGCTGGTTTCACAAAAAATTTCCATAAAGCATTTAATTTCAAGGCTAATAAAAAATAAAAAAGCAAAGAATTTCAAGGCTATTTAAAGTGCTTCAAAGCATATAAAAAAGCTAGAAATTTTCAAATTTTATTTATAAAGTAAGCATAATATATTGATATCAAAAAAGAAAATTGTAGATCAATTTTAGTTATGAATGTGAATGCAAAGATCCTCAAGAATCTGGAACAGAATCCATTAGTATAATAAAAAGTAAGACATCCTGGCCAAGTGGGGTTTATCACACAATGCAAAGTTGGTTCAATGTTAGGCAATCTTTTAATAGAATTCACTATAATAACAGACATAAGGAGATGAATTAAATGGGAATTGGCCAACCTGGCCAGTGGCTTGCTGCTTGTTTTACAAATACAGTTTTATTAGAACATAATCATGCTTACTTGTTTACATACCGTGTAGGGTTACTTTTGCACTACAACAACAGAGTTGAGCATTTGCAACAAAGACTGTGTGAACCACAAGATTAAAATATTCTCTAGATACTCCTTTAAGAAAAAAACTTACTGATCCCTGCATTAAATGACCTTCACAGATACCAAAATGTTATATAACAAAATACAAGGATAAGAATTTTCTACGGTCAGAGAGTAGTGTTTGTTCTCTAACAATCTATTTCCTATACATCTAATCAATAAAAGAAAGTAAAAAAAAATTTCCTTTTTCCCCAGTATTTATCAAGTGAAATAAGATCTTCAATTTTTTTCATAATTAAATTTTGTAAAATTAACGATGGTGAAATTTTTTGTGTAAAGTTTAAAAAAACAGCCACATGTAAAAGAGTATGTGTATTACCAATTTGTGAAAAAGGGAGGCTATGGATGAATATACATACACATACACATACAGCTATGTTTTATATAAAACTAACATGTACCTAGCATAAAACCAGCAGTCCCACTCCTAGTTATTTACATATATATATATATATATTCTCAAATATATTTATTCTTAAATATTTATATATATTCTTATTTGCTTATAAAATGATCTTTGTAAGGGCACACAAAAATTAAAAGTACTATTTACTTAAAGAATTTGAGCTTTGGTAGGATCTAGGAAGATGGGGAACATGATGGTAATGAGAAATTCGCTTTGCATTTTTACATACTTTATGATTTTTGGAGGATGTGAAGCATTAATCCTCCCCCCCACCCCACAAAATCCTACACAATTCAAATAAATATACAAAAAATACACTAATCTTTGTGGTTTGGAAACATTTTCTAAATTATAAATGGACTACCTTTCCTATTCAGGAATGAAGTATGATTAGATGTGTGAGACAGCCAAGCCACATTGCTGATACAGACGACATTACAACAGTTTGATCTTATTCTCTTGCTGTCCCTAAGCTATGATTTTATACTTAATTTTCATGTATGAAAACAACTGCATTGTTCGTTTTGGAAACTTTAAAATTTTTGCAGTGCTGGGTATTTAGCCTAGGGCTAGGCAAGCACTTTACTGCTGAGCTCCATTCCCAACCTTCCTTCCACAAACTTTGGAATTCTAACTGAACAATTATGATACTACTAAATCATTTTACTTGGAAAAATAAACACATACCATTATCTTCTTGGATTCCAACAGGGCCTGCTTGAGGTGTCTCCCCATTCTTTAAACAATTATGAATATATGTTGCCTTCCACCTTGCATACTTTCTGTGTTTCACATTCTAAAAGAGATTATTTTTGTATCAATATTAGATCATGTAAAGAAGTGAAAAGAAAAAAAAACACAAACATTTAAAATAGCCTATATCATACCTCTGAGATAAAACTTAATTTTACATGGACTTGACAAATTTCATGAACAGCTATCTCCATCTAAACACATGCCCGGTGCTCCTATATGGTGTCACATTTCAAACAAGATCTGCAATGGAACTATGGAAGTGTCTTGCCAGCAAAAACTCGAGACTCTTATGCATAAGAAAAATAGGTGAAAATGAATTTTAAGATTAAATACAAAAGTCAGTAATAGTAGCCTGAACTATTTGCACCAAACGATCTATACAATCTATGAAAACAAAAGGAAAACTATGATATAGTAGTTAAAACAAACATTAGATAGCCTGGCAAGCTTAACTTTTAACATGCACACTATTTAATAGCTCTGAATCTCATTAGCTCAACTCTAAAAAGGGAAAACAGTACTTCACTGTGTTGTTATAAGGGGAACTGAAAATATTGCCTAAAAACCTGCTATTTGCCTCTTCTTCCTTGTTGAAGTTACATACATTGATTCCCATTTTCTTCCAGGTATGACTGTATTTATTCCACTTCACCAAGCTTTTCAAAAGAAGTATCCATATTTAAAGTCAATTCTTCTCTGTTAAGTTCACTCTGGGTGAGAGTGGGGAAATACATGCCCATTTCTTTTCTATTTAGTTTGTATTTCCATGTCATACAAAAGGTCACAGAATTTGAAAGTGCCCGTGTCTTTTACTAGCAAGGCGCCCACATATGTACTTCACTAAAGAAGTACTTTTGCAAAAGTCATCAACAACCTGTTCCACATTGGCAAACACAACAGACACTCTTCAAGCATCATCTTATCAAACCTCTCAGCAGCACATTAAATGCTGGACCATTACAAATTTTTTGAAATATTCTGCATCTTTGGATATATGACACACTTTCACTTGTTTTCCTACTTCCTCTAGCTACTTAATCCTTATCCAACCTTCAAATAATCTGAAGTACCCTGTTCTAGCAGAAAAGCTAGTGGCTAGTTGCTGACTGCTAGAGAATTTAAAACATGAATTACGTTTCTCATAGCACAGGAAAATTATAGAAACCCAGATCTCTCTCTTTTTTTAAGATCACAATTATCTGAACTGAATAGCAGTCCCCTTTAGATGGTGTATATTCATTCAAATTCATCCATTCATTCTCTCTTCCTTGCTCTCTACACCCTCATTTATCCCTGTTTACAGAGTTGCTATTTATTGTCTCATAATGAGCTGTCTTCATTCCAATATGACTCCAGTCATCTAGCTTGTTTTCTTCTGTCTCCATATTCACTTATGCTATCAATATCTTTATCACTCTTAAATGTGTAAACCTAACCTGAATTTGCTTCTGACAAATATCCAACTGACAATATGGTATCTCTTCTTGGATGTCACACATACAACTAAAATTAATTTTCCTCTAAATCTCTCCTTTTGAAATTAGAAATGTGAGTCATTTTTAGCACCTCTCTCTTGTCTTTTGCCTCTCCCATCCAATTTGCTAGGAATTCAACTGATTTTGCTTCTGGAACATATCTTGAATTGGACGTCATCTCCCCACATTCACCTAATCTGCCTCCTTACTAATATTCTTACATTACTTCTCACCACATCTTCTTATTCATTAGGACTGATATTCCTAAAATCATAAATCTATTCCTATCAATCTTTTCAGTGACTTCCCAATACACACACGCATGCACACATGAATTCACACACATATAAAAGCTCTAACATTGACTACAAGGGTCTATTCTACCTTGTTCTTGATTGTCCAGCTTCTCAATGTTTCTATTCTGTTCACTCCCGTATCATCCAGCTCGGTCTGCATATTTTCTATCCCTAAACATGCCATGGCCCACATAACCGGTTACCTCTGCATGCTCCTTTTGTCTTCACAGACTAACTCATCTCTACTAAACTATTCATCATATCAAATCAAATATCACTTTCTCAAAAAGGTTTTCCCAACTGAAGACTATTCAATAATCTTCTACTCTCTTTTCTTTAACACTATCATAATTTCTAATTATATATTTATATGTATGCTTATAAAGTGTTCCCTCCTCCCTAAACATTTACTCACATACATTCCCAGCTCATTAAAGGCATGGTCTATTTATACCAAGCATGTGGCTTTGTTCCAGCACCAGTAACTGCTTAACAAATGTAGACACATCTCCATATATGATGGCTTGATTTTCATGGAAGTTATTCTGTTCAATATACAGATTCACGATTTCTGCATTCTAGTACTTGACCGTTTTTGACCCACAGAAACAGTATTGTTATATGGTTCACTCTTTCCTTCCTTCTCTTTGACTCTGTGAGAGCAAAACATGCTAAAGCACTGAGCTTTCCAGAGCATTTTTAATTTATCATAATCCTAGATAACTGGGACTGAAGGTCTATAAAAACTACATTATTACCAAACTTCAGAACCTCTGGTTCCCATGTCCACTAGAATTGAGTATGTGCAATATGACATTATTTTAAAATGTTTATTTTTACTCCTGTACTGCAGCAATTAAAACCAATGAAGGTAATTACTAATTACACATGTTTTGTGGTCCAAAATTTTCTTCATTTGGGGGGAAAACTAAGATAACTGTAATTAACTTAAAATGTTTTGCATGCTCAATAAATATTTGCTATTAATTAAAATCTTCAATTAACAATCTGGGAAATACAAAATAAGTCAGCACGTTAGTCCTGCCATTAGGGAGTTAAATCATCTGGCTACAATACACAACTAAAATAAAGCACACTAAGTAGGAAAAATTACACTTGTTTCTTACAGCAAGTATATGGAACTATTTAGAAAAACAAAGAAAAATAGGATAAAGGACACCTGCTAAAGGAATGGTGTTTAAATTTAGTCTTCAGGATAAACATGATGTGAAAAGGTGGAAAGTCGTGGAATGACTATAATGGGGAAAAGAAAGAGGATGAGCAAACTTAGAAAGGCAGAAAGAAACGAAAATTTGAGAACTAGCAATAAATCGATTTGCTACAGCTGGAAGATACATATTAAGGGCTAGTTGGGTAAGTAAGATAAGCCCAAAATAAGATGACATCTTTATGATACTTTACAGGTTATAAAGCAGTTCTACACATTTCCCTCTTATTTGGACCTCCTAATAACCTTGAAATATTGGTCATATTTACTTCCACTGAGGTTCTGAGACATTATAGGACAAGCTGAATGTAAACACATTTTAAATGGGTATTCAGGGTCTGCCACACTGTTGACCCTGCTTCAGTCTTACTTCCTGCCATTTTCTTCAATCCAGATAAGATACTAATACCTGCAGTACTTTCCCACGCTTTTCTCCCTTATCTACCATGGTTTCCTTTTTGGCCAAAAGTCTCTTCTTCCTCAAGGCTCAGCTCAAATATTTATTCAAAATGTGCCTCCTTGGTTTCTAGTTAAAAATTACTTATCATGGATGGCACGGTGCTAGGTCTGAGGATGACAGGATGAAAAAGTCACATATGAGCATTAGAGTTCAGTATTAAAGTTAGCATTTAGTCACATCCCTAAATGTGACACCTGTTATTTAAAGTCCCTGTGTTTGTCAGTTTTCTTTCCTTATAACATAATACCTGAGATAATCACATATAAGCAGAAAAGATTATTTTGTCTCACAGTTTTGGAAGCTCTGTCCATAATCAGTATGCTTGGGCCTGGGTTTGAAGCAGTACTTCATAATGGATTGTGTAGAACAAAACCCACTCACTCACCTCGTAATCAGTAAGTGAGGGAGGCAGGGCAAGGATCCTATAATCTCCTTTGTGGGCACATGTCCAATGACCTAAGAACCTTCCACAAGACTCCACCCCCAAAAGTTCCACCAAGCCCAAGAGTGCCATCTTAGAGACATCGTGTGTGTGTGTGTGTGTGTGTGTGTGTGTGTGTGTGCGCGTGCGTGGGGGCACTTATGGAAGCCATACCTGTCAGGTATTAGTTCTTCATCGTTTCTCCCTAAGAGTTTCACAATCTCATCATTATAGAGAAGAGTGCCATTATGAAAGTAAGGTGACTTACCCAAGGTCACATTATTTTAGTAATAAAGACAGCCAATCTATTCAGGACTATCTCGTTAAACTACAACTACCACACTGCAATTTGTAATTTATGTGGAAATAAAATGGGCTTTAAAAGGTCAGTGACTTAATGTGTATTACTGCAGGATATATTTTGGTAGATATAAAGAGGATCATTTCGAAAGGAAATGAATAAAAATTGCCAAGAAAAATTTAAACTGCTTGCTTTTGGGAACTTTAAGAATAAGACAAATCTTTCCCAACCTGAAATAACTTAATTCTGTCTGAAGATTTAGTGAAAAAGTTGTATTGTAATGACTTACAAGGTTCTTTCAGTCCTAACTTCACAGTATAAACAAAGTAGAGAAGTTTAAACTACCTTGGATTTATTAGTATATGAAGTTTATGAAAATACTAGTTTAAGCTAAAGAGGGTTCATTTCAGCCAACACATTAAAATTTTTCCTAAAGCATATAAAGTAATAAAGTTTAAATTTTAGTTCAGTTTCCAAGATACCATCATTTCAGCACTCTGGCATGAATATTTAGTAAAAATCTCTGACAATTTTAACTTGAACTAATGCATGTTTTTAATGTGGTTTTCTTTAAAATATTGCTAGATATTACATAGTATTTTAAGAGGAAATTTTCAAGATGTCAATATTTTTGAAATCCATTAACTACTTGGCTGCTTAGACATCCTTTCTGGGAAACAGGAATTGCAAAAAGAACTTTTACTTTTGTCCCTGGCCTCTAAGTTCCTGTTTTCTAATTGGATTGATGAAAATCACTGACAACTGCAAATTTCAGCTACTAGAATCAGCAATAGAATACAAAAGTTTTCATATAATTTTTAATTCATTTGCACTTGCTACTCCTAAGAATGACTAGTGG